GAGAAACACTGTTATAGAGAATGGAATAAATCTCTTTTACAATGGTTATAGAATTTGCCCTTGAACTGGCAGGGCCATCAGTTATAACCATCAGTTGTGAGCTTTGTAAATTATGGGGTCCTTGGAGCTCTCTTAGCTTGGTTGTTTGCTTGTAGATGTTGTCCATAATCTACCCTGAACACTGAGAATTTTACCTAGTAGGATAATTAATCATCTCCAAGCAAACAACCAAGCCTAGAGAACACTACAGTTCAATCTTGCTTCATCACTGGAGGTTTTTAAGAAGACATTGGACAACCCTTTGCCCGATGTGTTGAAGTCCACAAGTCTTAAAGTTGCCAAGTTTGGGGACCCCTGGTATAGGATCTCCCGTTTGAGCAGGAGATTGGACTAGAAGACCTCCAAACTCCCTTCCAACTCGTTATCCTGTATTCTGTTCTTTTTTTATTGGCTTTATAAATTCCTTGAAGGTTGATTCTCGGCTTTTTCAATATCAACTCATGATGGAAAAATTGCCTGAAATATTCCTTGTCCGCTGCTGTTGGTATTTGTCCATGGTTCACACCCATCAGGGCTTTCCTGGAAAAATGGAAACTATTCAAATCATCCTACCTAAACTGAGATTAGATCCAAAACATGCCTGATCAACCCATAGAAATGTAGGGTAGCTCCACAACGGATGACACGTGTTCTGCAAGGAAAGCCACTGTTGGACGACACATGAAAGATGTAATCATTTAAGATATTTTATCTATGCATGTAGATAAACACGTGCAAGATGGCTAAAAGCAAATGTGATATCATATAAATCATGAAGCATCTAAGAAAACAATAGCATCTTTTAAAAGAAGTCTGCAGGAGGAGGGTAGGTCTGCTCTTTAAAAAGATGGTCAAAATTCAATTGGATATTCCCTGACTTTAGACATGACTAAAATAGTTGTTTGGATCTCAGCCAAAGCCTTCAAAAGCAGCACTTGGGGGGGAAAAAACCTCAGAAAGAAATAATTCCTTTTTCTAATGCAGCGGGGAGGGGAGAGAGACTTAATGAAAATACATTTATGCATTAACTATTGAAGAACAAGCAGATCATGCATGAAAAGAGACAGATGGAAACCAGTTGGTAAGGTCTAGAAATAAACACTTATGCTGGCTGCTTACAGGGATCTGTTCTACTTGGCTTCTGCTAAACAATATTTGCAAAATCTGGAAGCTAAGACGATAAGTTATATATTTGCTACCATATGTGGGCTGCCAAAATCCAGAGTTGATGGCAAGAAAAAAGTTATTAAAAAGTCTCTTTGCTGCCATTTAATGATCGTCTGGATTGTTGCAAGCTGGATCTGGCAGCACTAGTATTTGTAAGATATTTTAACATAGGGGAACGAGAGTTGAAATCAGATTTGCTTAAAAGCTAGAAACATGCAACAACTACTACTAATTTTTATGTATAAATGTCAATATTATTGCTGGGGTAGGAGGACCCAATCCATAAAGATAAATAAGTCTTTAAACTCATTTGCATATTTTAATAAACAATACAATGATTCCCTAATGTATTGAATACATTTCTCCTACAATCATATTTAGAAGTACCATTTGGAGACAAATGGCCTTTTTGAAGATCATTTGTCATGGGATTATGGAGTTAAAAGGAATCTTAAGGATCTAGTCTGACCACCCTCAATGTTCAGGAAACCCAGTGAAATGATGTATCAAAAGTGGCTGTTTGTCTTTTTTAAATGCCTTCAAGGGTAGAGAATCCCTAACCTACATAATAAAACATTTCATTATTGCACAAACATTGCCATCCGGGTTTTTTTAAAATTCTATTTCAATGAAATCTTAGGTAGCTGCAACTGATATCCTAGTGAATGAAGGCAAATATACATGTCCCAAGATTTACAGATTTAACAGAGTTGGAAGGGACCTTGTAGGTCATCTAGTCCAACCCCCCCCCCCCAATCCATGCAGATAATGTTGTAGGATGCAATCTGGGTTGGTTACCAGGACTAGAGGTTTAGTCTTCTGAACTTTTAAACTTGTGTTGGAGCCCATCTTCAGGAAACTTTTCTCTCTCACCAGACTGTGTACTTTGGGCTATTCTGCGTGTAGTATTTATGTGGTGCCTGGTTGTGTGTGGCCCCAATTGTTGATTGGGGTTTTGATGGCTGGCTATTAAGTTGTTCGCTGTTATTTCCAAGGTCTGTAAAATGAGGACCCAGATTGTTGAGGGAAAATATCCTCTGTAAACTGCTTAGAGAGTGCTGTAAAGCAGTGGTTGCCAACCAGTGGACCGGGGGCCACTGGTTGTCTGCGAGAAAATTTTGGTGATTCCCAGAGAAATGTCACCCCTAAAGCACCCCCCAAACCAATTAATCCAGGGTGCGTGGGAACACAAGGCTGTGCAGACCACATGGCCCACGGGAACACCAGGCTTGCGTCGCTTGCATTGCAAACAACACGAGGTAGTGGACAGAGGGGGAAAAGGGCAGGGGGGGGGAACTTGCCCCACTCACCCCACGCACCTGGCCTGGCCACTGCGCTACTTCTTTCTGCTTCTTTCTTCTTCTGCTTTTGGCTGCACACAAGGAAAGCAGCAAAAGTCTTTCTTTCTCTCCCCCAAACTCTGCCAGAAATGAGTCTTTGGGACCCTGCAAGGCATCCTGCTTCAAGGGGCTGACCGGCATGACAAGACTCACAAAGACACATTTCTGGTGGAATTTGGGGGAGAGAAAGAAAGACTTCTGCTGCTTCTGCTGCTTTTCTTGCATGAAGCCAAAAGTTTCTCTCTCTCTCTCTCTCTCCCCCTGAGAACAGAGTTGCAGACAGTTCCAGCTATCCCAAATAAAGAATGATCGATCGGTAGGAAAAACGGAGTGGGGAATTTTCCTTCAGATTTTTTTTGGGATTTTCCCAGGGTCTCTGGTCCGCGGGATTTAAAATTATGAGTTTGGTGGTTCCTGAGGTCCAAAAGGTTGGTTTCCCCTGCTGTAAAGCACTGTGAAGTGGTGTATAAGTCTAAGTGCCATCCACTGGGCACATAAGTACAACATTTGGCTACCTTTATACTGTATTTGTCACTTGGTCTGGTCTGTTCTGTAAGCAAACAATGCTTTGTGACACCTCTTGATAACATTAGGGTGACTTTAGAAGCAGAGTAATGTGAAAGTGCCAAATATCATTACGAAACAAAACAGCCTAGGAGGACCTGTTTTGTTGGTTCAATCTGGAGAGCTACAAGGACAATATCTCATACATTGTTATTGCAAAAATCTGGCCATCACGAAAGTTTTCTATAATTGGAACTGATACTAACTCAATAATCTGTGAGCAGCAGAGAACAATTGATTCAATTCAAATTATACTAGCTTGGATGCCACATCCAATTGTTATCCCTCATTCTTTGTTTGATATTAGCTCTGGCACTCTCTGACTCGGCTGCCAAAAATGTTCCAGAAAGAATGCCTTGTCTCAACGAAGAGACTTTAAGAGAATTGATCGCAGCCTATCACTAAGAAGAGACAACCACAAGAGATATACATTCAATTGCAGCCGATATTTAAAAGTCTGTGATTCAGATCCTTGTCTCTGTTTTCCAAAGTCCAGCCTTGAGTTGTAAAATCCCGTTGGAACTCGCCATGATAAAAATTACACAGCTTCCTGGCTCTATCCCTTATTTTTTTTTATTTTTTTTTATTTTAGTTATTTATTTCTCACCATTATCATTTTTACAAATGACTCAAGATGGCAAATATATCTCAATTTTTGCCTCCAATTTTCCTCACAACAGCCCTGTGAGGTAGGTTGGGCTGACAGACAGTGACAGGCCCAAAGTCACCCAGCTGGTTTTCATGGCTAAAATACGACTTTTGAACTCATGGTCTCTTGTTTTCTAACCTGGTGCTTTTACTACTACACCAAACTGGCTGTCTAGATCAGTGATGGCTAACCTTTTGGGCACCGAGTGCCCAATGCGCGGGTGTCCCCCGCGCATGCCCCCACCGCCCTGCGCATGTGCACATCCCCGTACATGCACCCTGCTTCCGTGCATGAATGCGCATCATCTGTGCATGCCCCCACCCCAGGGGTGGGATTCAAATTTTTAACAACTGGTTCTGTGGGCGTGGCTTAGAGGTGGGCATGGCTTGGTGGTCATGTGACTGGGTGGACATGGCTTGGTGGCATGTTATTGGCTGGGTGTGACCAACTCAATATCACTCACATCGAGACACGCATCTCCTCGCCTGGCCTCTCATGACTGTGGGGATGCTGCAACAGTCGTAAGCAGGGGTAGGTTTCTACCGGTTCTGTCCACCTCTGTAGAAGCGGTAGCTCTGAAGAGCAGCAGACCTAGAACCGGTTCTAGGTCTGCTGATGTTTTTGCGCACCCGCCCACTCGGGCTGTTACTTGATCTTTATTTCCTGATTTTTCAACTTCAGCTCCCGAACAAGGCACAGCTGCAGTTAAAAAAACAAGAAAAGAGGGCTGTTTCAAAGGCTGCTTCTAGGCACGCAGCGTGCTAATGATGATTTACAGGCGCACGGCTCACAGCGGGCAGGGAAGCTCGTAAATTCCAAACCGGTAGTTAACCCTGTCGTATCCCACCCCTGGTCGTAAGTGTGAAAAATGGTCATACGTCACTTTTTTCAGTGCCATTGTAACTTTAAATGGTCACTCCACACAAGCAAAGTACCAGCAAAGGAGGGGGAAAAAAAACTCCAGAGAGGTTCCTGAGACAGGAAGTCTAGTGCTGCCAAGAATGTAATAAGGGTTAATGGAGAGGCAGTTTCTGTAAGCAACACCAGAATGTTTCCTTCCTGCCTTCCTTACAGGATTAGCCCAGTAATTTCTTCTAACAACTGGTTCTCCGAACTGCTTAGAATGTTAACAACCGGTTCTAGCGAATAGGTGTGAACCGGTAGAATCCCACCCCTGCCCCACCCCCACACATATGCACGTGTCATCCATCCCCGTGCATGCGCGCACACCTTCCACAGACGCGCCCCTCTGAATGCATCTTGCCCCACCCCCACGCATGCGCCGCAGAGACCCGAAGACCAATTGGCTGACAGGAAGTGAGCACGTGCATGCGCAGCAGAGCTGAGCTGGGGCGACGGTACCTCTGGCGCACATGCAAGAGGTTCGCCATCACAGGTCTAGATGGATCATTTTGATGAAGGTAATTTATCTTAATGGATCATTATGATGAACGTTAAGGACGAAGTATGCCTGTTAAGTATATTGTATTTATTTCCGACAAGTAATTAATGGCTCTTCATTTCCTAGGTTAAGGTTACCCAGACCCCGGAAGGGCAGGCCCAGCCTCATTTGATTAAAACACTGCAGAAAGGAGATTATTTTGGAGAAAAAGCCTTGATCAGGTTTGTTTTAAAATTATTTCTCACTTGGAAACATTCACATTCACTTCTGTTGTTATTTAAAAATTGGAGGAGCTCAAAATGGAAGACAAGATAAGGACATAAGCACCCAAAGTTGAGAAACACTGAATTAATGTCTTTCTTTATTTTATTTTTTAAAGGAATTAACTCAAGTGTTTCTCAACCTTAGGTGTCTGAAGATGTGTGGACTTCGATTCCCAGACTTCCCCAGTCAGCATAGCTGCCTGGAGCATTCTGGGAATTGAAATCCACAAGTCTTAAAGTTGCCTGAACTTTAATATTTAAAGTTGCCTGAACTTTAATATTTAAAGTTGCCTGAACTTTAACACCTTTGAATTAACTAGTATTATAATTCATAGATGACTGAAAGCCATCCATGCTACCATTTTCCCTCATGGTCTCTTCCATCCAAATTGTCTATTTTGGTTACTGTACGCTGAATTTTCTGTTTCTGGTCGTTGCAGTTGATGGATTTTTCCAAGCAGTTGCTCTGATACATGGGCACAACAAGCCAATTCTGGACCTATTAACCAACCATACTCTAGTGTGCCTACATGTAGCAGTGAAATGAATTGATGAGATTTTTTGTTGATTTAATTATTTGATTGTTATCTTGCCTTTTTTCATTTCGTGTATACGTAACTCAAGGTAGCAGGCATACATAATATTCCTTCCTCCTATTTTCTCCACAACAGCAACCTGATGAGATAAGTTGGCTAAGAGACAGTGACTGCCCCATATTCATCCCCGTGGCTTTCTTGTCTAAGACGGAACTAGAAGTCACTGACTCCTGGCGATTGGCACAGAGTCATTCAGCTGATGTTGATATCTAAGACAGGACTAGAATTCATGTGATTGCCTCAACCCAGCTGACTTTTATGCCTAAGGCAGGACTAGAACTCACCCTCTCCTGGTATTTGGCCCAAAGTCACTCAGCTGGCTTTCAGGTCTAAGGTGGGACTAGAACTCACAGTCTCCTGGTGATTGGCCCAGAATCACTCAGCCAACTTTCATATGTAAGATGGAACCATTGTCTTATGGTGAGCCTAAAATTACTCAGCTGCCTTTCATACCTAGAGCAGAACTAGAAGTTACCGTCTTCTAGTTACTGGTTCTTTAAAAATTTTATAAAGTCTTGAGAAACATTGTTTTAAACCAACAAAAAAAATATCCCAAAATCCATTTCACTGCTGCACGAATGCATACATGACAATTGCAAGGTCATTTTTTTTTTTTTTTTTTTGGAGAAACACTGCTGTAGAGGAAGAATCAACAATGAAGTGAAATAAAAAAAGCACCACAAGCTTGTGTTAAAATTATCCCTATCAGGAACATTTAACAGCACAGATGTAGAGAACCTGCAGAGATGATGAATTGGTTGTTAGGTGTCAACAGTCCTTTTGAACAGGGGAAACAGCAGGGATAGTAATAATGGGAGGATTTAAACTTTGAAGTGGCATTTGGACAAATAGATAATGCCTACTTAGGTAACAAATTAGCTTGTGTGCTTCATCCATTTTTGTTCTGTAAAATCATTGTTAAAGAGATTTGCAAAGATAGAGCAGATTTTTAAAGATACAATAGAAAACCAAGGTTATGCACAGGGATTTAAGTATCTAGTTGCTTATAATAAATTAATGTGATCCTCCCTAGGCATAGTTTTAGAAGTAATTTTTGTGCTCAAGGGAAACAGACTGCTAATAAGTGTAATCAGATAGTCTCGACTGGCCACAGTTTTGTGACTGAAGCTTCAACAGCGCTGAAAAATGTAATTTCTGATTGCTTTTCACACTAATGACTGTTTCACACTAATGACCCCATGATCATGTGATCAAAATTGGGACACTTGGCAAGCGTGCAACATGGTGTCCTGGGGTTATGTGATCCCGTTTTGAGACCTTTTGACAACCCAAATCACTGGGGAAGCCAGATTCACTTAACAAGCACATTACTAACTTAACTGCAATGACACATTACTCACTTAACAACTGTAGCAAGAACGGTCATAAAATGGAGCAAAACTCACGTAACAACTGTCTTGCTTAGCAATGAAAATTTTGGGCTCAATTGTGGTCGTTAGTCCCGGACTACCTGGACTTATAGGATTATAGCGTAAATCTAAATTCCCATCTGGTCTGTGACTGTCATGCCCCTGGTAGAGACTGACTCTGAGGGAGAGGAGGAACAGCCAACAGGGATTGGAAGTGTGGGTCCGGTGGTTGTGGAGGAGGGAAGGGCAGAGGCCGGCTGAGCAGTCAGAGGAGGACCCAGGCCCATCCCCTCTCCATCCTAGGGAACACAGGGAGGAGAGGATAAGGGAGAGATGTGGTCTATTTGGGAGGAGAGGGCCTTGGTCCTCTTCATGGGCTGCAGCTGTGACAACTGGATAAGAGGACGGACATGCGTACAGGCAAATGCTGGAAACAAAGCATGGAAATATCTCTAGTTGATTGTTCCTCTCTGAGTTTGGTGTCCTTCCCAGTGTGTGTTCTGATATCTGTGGACGTCTTCAAGCTCTTATCTTGCCTGGTTTGTGTTGCTTTTTCCCTTCTTCTTGTAACTGTTTGTGTGGGAGTTTTTTGGCTTCCATCAAGAATATTTGGAGGTAGAAAGCAAAGTGAAGGAATAAAAGGGGTTTCATCTGTTTTCTGTGACTGTGTTTGTTTTGTATCCCCACCCTGGGTCATCACAGTGACTTACTTTTCTTATCTAACTAAAATCAATGGATATGTTTCTGTTTACAGTGATGATGTCAGGTCTGCTAATATAATTGCAGATGAAAATGACGTGGAGTGCCTTGTTATCGACAGAGAGTAAGTATTCTATACCGCCGTCTTCTTTCCAGCATCTCTTCTTATTCACCGATATGTTACATCAAGAATGCAATTGTTCTTAGTTCTCTTCACTTCTTTTTCCTTGCCCAAATTTGGAGGAGGTGGACATCGGGGTGGGGTGGGAATAGCAAAACAGCCAGGCAAATGACCCTTGAAGAGAAGAAGAAAAATAGGTCAGGTACCATGAGCCATGGTTTGCTGTGGTTAGAATGCAGAATGCAGTATTTGCAGGCTAACTCTGCCCACAGTCTGGAGTTAGATCCTAACTGGCTGAAGGCTGATTCAGCCTTCCACCTTTCCAAAGTCACTAAAATGAGGACCCGGATTGTTGGGGGCAAAACGCTGCCTCTGTAAACCACTAGGGGAGGGCTGTAAAGCACTGTGAAGCGGTATATACAGTAAGTCTAAGAAGTGCTATTGCTAGGAGCTGTGGTGGTGCAGTGGTCAGAATGTACTAATGTAGGCTAACTCTGCCCACAGTTAGGAGCTCAATTCTGACTGGCGCAAGGTTGACTCAGCCTTCCATCCTTCTGAGGTCGATAAAACGAGGATCCGGATTGTTGTGGGGGCAAAAGGCTGACTCTGTAAACTGCTTAGAGAGGACTGTAAAGCAGGCGTTGCAAACCTTTTGGACCTCAGGGACCACCAAACTCATAATTTTAAATCCCAGGGACCACTAACCGGTTCTGTGGATGTGGCCTAATTTGTGGGTGTGGCTTGGTGGTCATGTGACTGGCTGGGCATGGCTTGTATGTAAATATTATAAACATTTATATAAATATTGATTTTTGTATTAAAAAATAGAGAGTGCTGTAAACATAAAATTTGCTTGCAAGCAAACTCACAAAATTAACTCACAACACACCATGTATGTAAATATTGATTTTTTTTATTTAAAAAAGAGCAACTTTTACCCAAAATCAGGCAAAGCACGCAGGCAGATTGAGTTGCTCACAGAATCACAGATTCATACAGTGACCTATTGCCATTGGCTACCTGAGTCTGTCACACAAAATTTGCTTGCCGTGAATCTGCCCTGAATAATATAACCTTCAGTCCTAAGGAAGGTTTGGCTCTGCTTAAATGCAGAGCCAACAATCTAAGGACTAGCTAAAAGCAAGAAATGCAACCATTTCCTGCTTTCTAGCTAATCTAAATCTCCCGGCACAGCAGAACAGCTGATGGTTGTAAAAAAGAAAAATAGCAACTTAGCAGGCAAGTTTGCCGGGTAAGGAGTGAGTGGGCGGGGAGGGTATCCTGCGGGCCATGTGGGCAGCGCAGCCTTGTGTTTCTGTGCAGCCTGGATTAATTGCTTTGGGGGATGCTCTGGGGATGACATTTATCTGCGGCCTACCAAAATTTTCTCACGGCCCACCAGTGGGCCATGGCCCACCAGTTGACGACCGCTGCTGTAAAGCACTGTGAAGTGGTATATAAGTCTAAGTGCTATTGCTACCAATAAAGGAAAATATTTGTAGCTTAGGGTTGAAATGAGGATTCGTTGGTGCTCTCTGAGCTTGGTTGTTTTCTTGCAGACATTTCATCACCAAACTAGGTAACATCATCAGTGCTACTCCTAGATTACCTTGTTTGGGTAATAAAACATCAGCAAAAACAACAACAACAACCAAGCTCAGAGAGCATCAAGGACCTATCAATAGATCAGGAAACACCACCCTGGCCTGCATTGCAACATCATGTCGCAAGATCCTGAAGTTGTTTGTGTTTACAGTACATTCTATCTTGTCCTGCAAGTTTTTTTGTTGCCAAGATATGCTTGTGTTAGGGAGTGGGGGGTGGAATGTAATTAAGATCATGATTGATGATGATATCTCTTCTAATCCCATAGATATACTGTGAGGATACTTCATAGGGTTTAAAAAAACAAAAACAAAAACCTAAGAACATCCAGTTCCCCATTTGGATCATCAAAGATTTTAATTACTGCAGAGTGGGCATGCTTTGGCTGCTTCATTAGTCAATAAAGAAAATCTCCAAAGTAGCAAACATTGAAATATTTCAAGTAAAACAAAAAAGAGGAAAGGAAGGCAGTTTGGTGCAGTAGTTAAAGTTCCAAGATAAAACCAGGAGACTGTGAGTTCCAGTCCTGCCTTAAGCATAAAACCAGCTCTTTGGCTTCAGGTCAATCACCCTAGAAATATTAGAAAGAATGCAACGGCGAACCAGTTTTGGAAACCTCTCCAAGAAAATTGCTGGGACTTTTCGTGGCAGTCACCAGGACTTGAAGGCATAAAAAGGGAGGAAATAAAAGGAAAAACAGGCAGAGTTGTTTTAAAAATAGGGGCTACAATAGGAATGTCTGGAGATTCACAGTCATCCAGGTCATAGTTGTCTCAAAGGTACTTTAATAGGAATGGAATGATTCTTGTTGACTGCATCTCCGTTCAATTAGATAAGGGGTGGGGAAATATGGCCCTTTTAGGACTTGTGGACTTCAACTCCCAGAATTCCTGAGCCAGCTAACTTTCAAATTTTAATTGACTTTTTATACAATAACAGAGTTGGAAGGGACCTTGGAGGTCATCTAGTCCAACCCCCTACACCTGTGATGGTGAACCTATGGCATGCGTGCCACAGGTGGCACGCAGAACCATTTGTGCGGGCACGCAAGCCCCAGCCCAACTTACCTACACTACCGGAAGTGCTGAAACAGGCCTTCTTTCAGCCTCCCAAGGCCCCAGAGGCTTCCTTCAAGCCTCTGGGAGGGCGAAAACAGCCTCCCTTGGGCTCCAGAGGCCCTCCAGAGGCTGAAAATGGGCACTTCCGGTATTTCCGGAAGGCCCATTTTTCGGCCTCCTAAGGCTGCAGAGGCTTCCCTTGAGCCTCTGGGAGGGTGAAAACGGCCTCAAACAGGCCGAAAATCAGCTGGGAGGTACGCGCATGCACAGTTCAGGTAAAGGGGTGGGGCGGAGATGTTGCACATGTACGCGCAGGGGGTTGGGGCACATTGCATTGTGGGTGCCGGCACACACTCGTTTTTGGCACCCCACAACAAAAAGGTTCACCATCACTGCCCTACACCATTTCTGACAGATGGCAGTCCAATCTCTTCTTGAGAGTCTGAAGTGATGATTTTAATACAGTGATTCCTCTATACAGTGAAACCATGAAGAACAGTTTAGCTGCTTTGTTGTATTTATGAAGGCAGGGATTTGTTCCTTCAGATATATGGAGTAGACTGGAAATGTATAAATATCTAAGTTATTCTCCAGCGAGCCTCAAGCCGTATTAATAGGATGAAAATGAAAAACAGTGTGAATTTAAAAAATTGAATTGTAACCCTAGCATGCTAGGCAATACAGTATTTTAAAACATTACTCAAGCATTTCAGCAGATGTTACGTCTGTTTTGCGTTGAACTGTACAGTATTTTGGTACTTAATTGGACAGCTATTGATTTTACCATGGCTGCATTTTCTGTTCTTTGATCTTTGTTAGCATTTATATGGTTTTGAATTTAATGTTACTGTTGATTATATATCTTCCTGGTAATCTTGTATTTCAAGTGCAACTGGGGAAAAAAATAGCTAAAATAACTTTAACGTGGCCCATTTAGTTTTTCTCAAACCGCTTTGATTTTTTTTTTTTTCAGTCTAGGCAAAGAAAAAAATGATGATTTTTATCAGGTTCTTGGTAGCTGCATTATACAGCTGTTGATCTGAGTTCAGTTTTGTAGATCCCAAGTTGGTTGGGTCTGTGATAGAGTGATAATTGCCTGCAATCTCCCTCACCTTTGAAAGATGCAGTTGGATTGTTCAGAGAATTAGAATGTGCAGTGACTGCTGTGGGTGATTTTCTTTTTAATCATGGCATCACAAAGGCCAGACCTCTGGATATTTTTCTGTTTATTCACTGCACTGTACGGTAGCAGCCGCTGATGCTTCTGTTATACTATGACTGTTGTTATAATTGTGGCTGGGTTCACAAGTCATGCTAACTTTGTTTGGCTTTGACTGACCGTATTGCTGAACAGCTGTTGGGCCTTAGTCAACTAAACATAGTTAAGCAAACCATCTCTTGGTTAATGACTTCAGCAACAGAGTGGTCAACACCTGGAACGCCCTACCCCTCTCCGTTGTTACAGCCTCGGCCGCTCACAGCTTCAACCTCAAACTGTCTACCGTGGACCTCACCCCATTCCTAAGAGGTCCTTAAAGGGAATGTGCATAAGTGCACCAGCATGTCTACCGTCCCTGTCTTACTGTCCCTATTTATCTGTATTCACTTCCTTTGTTCGTATCTATACTTGTTATCTTGTACATGTTTGACAAATAAGTAAAATAATAAATAAAATAAAGCCTTAACCCAGCTTTACCCTCAGGGAGATGTGTTAGACTACATTTTACCTTATTGGTTGGGAATTCTGGATATTGCAGTGTACTATATTTGTGGAATATCAAATTACGGAAGTCCTTAGGTAGTACGTTATAAAAAAGGGACAAGTTGATACAAAAAGAAAACAGCCATAGCATTGAGACTTATATGCCACCCCATAACGCTTTACAGGGCACTCTGGGTAGTTTACAATGCCGAAGCATTATTTGCATATTGCCCCTGTTAGGGATATACACCCTAGCAGAACGTGCAACGGCAGTCTAGCAGGCAGGCAGATATGTGAGACAAAACGTTGTAGTAGCTTACACTCAGTAAGACAGATACACTGTGCTAGTTAATCTGGGTCCTCATTTTACAGACCTCAGAAGGAGAAAAGGCTTGAGCTGTCAGGATCAAACTCTAGGCTGTGGGCAGAGTTTGCTTGCAATACTACATTCTAACCACTGTGTCACCAGGGATCCCAAAACATGGCTAAATAAATGAAAATATAGGTATCACCTGTGTAAAAGAAGATAAGAAGGGCTTTCCAGATGTTGGTGGACTGTTTTCCAGTCCCCTTCAACAGTTATCAGGCTGGCTAGGACACTTAACATCTGGAAGGGCACAAGTTATACTACCCCTACCTCTGCATTTAATGGAGGGGGGATCTACTAGCAGGTATAATATAAATCAGCCTTCACTAACCCCTATCACCCACAACCTGTCTTCCCCATGGCTGGGCTGGCTATATGTCTGTGGAGATTCTCAATCATCCAGATCATGGATGTCCTAAAGATGCTTTTCAAGAGGAAACTGGACTTTCTTGGGTCCCCCCCCCCCCAGAACTGAAGAAGCTTCTTGGGTGAGAAGTGAAGTGGGGGGGGGGGAACCAAGAAAGCCCAGTTGCCTTTTGAAAAGCACCTGGCTACAGTTTATGGGATTTAAAATCTTCGTATCTCCATAGAAGGCTGCTGCAATATTTTTTTTTTCCTAGCAAAAGGCTCTGTTTTGACTCCCTTCTGTTGTGTTTGCAGAACTTTTAATCAAACAGTTGGAACGTTTGAAGAACTTCAAGCATACCTCGTGGGTTATGTAGCAACTTTGGCTCGAGATGATGAAAAAAGGCACGCTCAGTAAGTCTTCCCAACTGGTTTCCAAAACTGTAGGGATCAGCAATGTTGTGTCAAATTAGTTGGAATTGGAACCAGTGGGCTTATACAAAAATACACAAGAAATCCTACCACCTCGGGTGTTGCTAATTTGGTAAACCTTTTGTCCAACACTTTGAAGCTTAAGAAAATCAACATGCATGGAGCTTTTGTTTTAGCGAACACTTAAGAATGATAGTTAAAATACAAGATTTTGCTTTAATGAATATAAGATGCTGCCCTTTTCGTTCAGATGTTTTTTGGTTCAGCAATGACACATTCTAAACCATCTGTAATTTCATATCTGTGTTTCCATACTGCATGTAAGTGACAATTACTTGGCAATTTTTCAAGCTTCCAACATCTTTTCCATAATTCAGCGTCCTCACTTCACCTTTCGCTCTTTACATAAATATGTTCAATTTGGATTCCCAGTACAAGAGGATAGGAAACTCTTAAGCACACAGGTCTCAAATGTTTTCTGGGGTCTTGCTTGCAACCTTAAGCCCAGCATCCTGCCAGTCGATTCCCCTAAAACCAAACAGACTCACCTAAGACCAGGAATTTGTGCCATCCCCCAGTGCAGACCCACTGAGGCTGCCAAGAGCCAAGGAAATAAGGAAATCCAGGCAATTTAAATCAACAGAAGGGTTTATTGCAAGCTTAAGCTCTCTACAAAAATCTGAACTACTAATGGCCAAAGGAAATTAGCGGTAGATAAGAATCAATGGAATTCAAGGCTGGTTGGACTTAGATCTCTTGTGAGCACGAAGGGACTCGAGACTTTGACCCTTCCTTCAGGCTCAGCCTGGACACCTCCTACAGAGGCTTCTATAATTTGGTTTTAATTCTAGTAAGTGATCCACAAATTCTTTTTAAAACTCCCATTTTATGGGTTACTTTATCAATACAGTGCTTTTACTCTTAGCAAGCACAAAACATGTATATTTCCAGATATGAGCAATGAACTTGATTCCCTATAATCAAGATCATTTCGTGCTGCCTGCTAGCACCATCCCTATTGGAGATGCTGATCGAAACCGCGGAGATGCGGCCATTCTTCACAGCAATTATAGATGGAGGGAGGATCCCCAATTTTAGGCCTGAACAAGATGCTCACCTTTGACCACGCTGGGTGGCAATTCTGGGAAATGTACTTCCCAATAAAGGAAAACATATGTAGCTCAGGGTTCAAATGAGGGATCCTTGGTACTCTCTGAGCCTTGTTTTCTTGCAAACGTTGCATTGCCCAACTAGGTAACATCATCAGTGCTAGCAAGGAGTGGGGCTTGTTCTCAGTTTGTATTCTACTTCCCACAATGTACTTGTCATTGATTTGGAGGGCAAAACCTTGAAATAATCAATTGCCCAATCAGTCTGGTTCTTGTTTCAGTCCTTCTGATTTTAATCGATTGCAGGTAGTCCTCAACTTACAACCATTTATTTAGTGACCATTTGAAGTTATAACGACACTGAAAAAAGTGACTTATGACTATTTTCTCCACGTACAGTAGAACCTCTGGTCACGACCGCTTCTGACCACGACCAAATCAGGTTCTGACAAAAAAATCCACAACATTTTTGAATCGGGTCACGATTCAAAAATTGGGTGGCGATCAAACACAGCCACGGCCGATACCCTTCCACACCATTTTTTTTTTGGTAGGTGTATGCGCAGTCAGTTTCGCTTCCGGTCACGACCAAATCCGGTTGCGACTGAAGTTGCGGAATGAATTATGGTCGTGACCAGAGGTTCTACTGTACAGCTATTGCAGCATCCCCCAGGGTCACGTGATCAAAATTCACCCGCTTGGCAACTGGCTCATGTCTATGACGGCTGCAGTGTCCCAGGATCACGTGATCCCCTTTTGCGACCTTCTGACAAGCAAAGTAAATGGGGAAGCCGGATTCACTTAACAACCATGTTAGTACCTTAACAACGACATGTTTTGCATGGCAAAATAAAATTTTGGTCTCAGTTGTGGTCGTATGTCAAGGACTACCTGTATTCTACTGGTCTGAAAGAAAGACAATTGAGCACTCAGAAAAAAAACGAAATAAAGGTTGGTTTTCCAAAATCCTTTGATTCTTGCTTCATTGCTATAAACTCACAAAAGGCCCTGAGACAGAGGTGGTATTCAGCAGGTTCTGACCAGTTCTGGAGAACCGGTAGCGGACATTTTGAGTAATTTGGAGAACCAGCAAATCCCACCTCTGACTGGCTCCGCCCCCATCTATTCTCTGCCTCCCAAGTCCCAGTTGATTGGCTGGGTCTTGCTTTGTTGCTCTGCACAGGAGAACGGAGCTGGAAAGCAGGTTAGTGGGGTGGGGAGGGAATGGGCATTTTGCATCCTTCCTCTGCCATGCCCACCAAGCCATGCCCAGAGAACCGTTAGTAAAAAAAAATTGAATCCCACCACTGCCCTGAGAGCTATAATAAAGTCGAATGACTCTTCATTGAACAAATTACTATTTCAGGCCACGGATGCAGACACACCAGGGAGAGAACGCAATTGATATTTAACGGCTCAGAAATGCTGCTATTTTCTCAGGACTTTAAATAGCATTGTGGGTGGCTCCTGGGGTTCATTTTCCTGATTTTTGACATCCTGAGGGGGAAGGAAACCTTGTAAATTTATTTGGACTGCTTCACTTTTCCTTCCATCAGATTTTCTTTTAAATGGAAGATTTGCAACTCCTTTTTCACCAATTAGTACTTTTAAAGTTTTCTCACTTTTTTTCCTACTGCCAGTACGGGTCGTCATTGACTTACAACATTGATTTAGTGACTGTTCAAAGTTACAATGGCACTGAAAAAAAAGTGACTGATGACCATTTTTCACACTTAACGACCATCGCAGCCTCCCCACAATCATGTGATCAAAGTTCAGACCCTTGGTAACTGACTCATATTTATGATGGTAGCAGTGTCCCCGGGGGTCACATGATCCCCTTTTGTGACCTTCTGACAAGCAAAGTCAACGGGGAAGCCAGATTCACTTAACAACCATGTTACTGACTTAACAACTGCAGTGATTCACTTAACAACTGTGGCAAGGAAGGTTGTAAAATGGGGCAAAACCCACTTAACAAATGTTTTGCTTAGCGATGGAAATTTTGGGCTCAACTGTGGTCATAAGTCGAGGACTACCTATATTGAATTCCCTATTGAACAGCAAACTTGCATCTTTGTGATAAGTATCTTCGAATTCAAGGCCACTGAAAATACCACAGGGCAATCTAAGCAATCCGATTCTGTTGAGTTAGATCAGTCATGAAGCCGGCTTGTGACAGAAACACAAATCAACTGACAAAAGACACTCTCCCTCCCTTTGTGGGATATCATTAAAAGGCAAATTTGCCTCAGGCCCTTTTCTTCTTGGTGTAGCATAAACCTTCTGCATGATGCCTTGAAGGATCATATCCCTACACCAGAGGTGGTTTTCAGCAGGTTCTGACCAGTTGTGGGATTCAAATGTTTTTACTACCGGTTCTGTGGGTGTGTCTTGGTGGGCATGGCAGGGGAAGGTTACTATAAAATCTCCAGTCAGAGGTGTCATTTGCCGGTTCTCCAAACTACTCAAAATTTCCACTACCGGTTCTCCAGAACTGGTCAGAACCTGCTGAATACCACCTCTGATTCTGACCGGTTCTGGAGAAGGTGAGGGTTTCCCATTCTTCCTCCTTGAAACACAAGTTGAAACACAAGTTGAACTGTTATGCTGCTTGCCCTGTCTCAGAAAGAAATAAATGACGAATTATTTCCATGGTTTGACAAGAACATAAAACAGGTGTGTCTTGTCCAGGTAGACCTCCACTTACAACAATTCGCTTAGTGATCAAAGTTATAACGGCACTGAAAAAAGGGACAGGATCATTTTTCACACTTACGACCTTTGCAGAATCCCCATGGTCATGTGATTCACGTGCTTGACAACTGACTCACATTTATGACGGTTGCAGTGTCATGTGATCACCTTTTGTGGACCTTTCAAGAAGCAAAGTCAATGGGGATACCAGATTCACTTAACAACCATGTTACTAATTTAACAACTGCAATGATTCACTTAACAAATGTGCTAAGAAAAGTCGTAAAATGAGGCAAAACTCAACAAATTTCTCACTTAGCAACATAAATTTTAGGTTCCCTTGTGGTCATAAGTTGAGGGCTACCTATAGTCACTAGGAGTTGAGCTTGACTTAAAACAGATCATCTTCTTTTAATGACCCTGTAATCCCTTGCGAGTTGGAGTCTAGGCAACTGAATGGAGCTGAGTGTTTACTGGCTGGATGCCCTTCCTGTCGCCAATGCAGAGTTTTGTTCAGCAGATAAATTCTCATTGTGCCCAGAGAGAGAAATATCCGCCTCTAGCTAGGATCGAAGTCCTAGCCTCCTTATTGTGAGGCAAGAGAGCCACCTTGACTTAAAACAGATGTTATCTTTTAATTCAGAAACATCCAGTTTCTAAACACTTTATCATCAGACACCTTTGATTCAAAGCAAATCCCAGGCATTTTCAGAAATTGTTTTTCTAAAAGCTAACCAACCATTGCAGAATTTCTCACTTGCCGACTGAATCAGACAAAGCATCCTGATAGGTAATATTATTTTTTATTATTACTTTAATGCAGAGTCTCTTTCGTGGATCGGCTTCCTCGCAATGTCTCTCTAGAGATGATTCAGTTGAAAGAAAAGGTCACCCAATTTCCTGCCTCCTGCCCTTTTGAGCACCTGGAGATTGTTGCGACTCTGGGTGTCGGTGGATTTGGAAGAGTTGAACTTGTAAGAATTTCACATTTAAGCATTTGACTTGGAATCGGGAGGGGTGATTTGATACAGTTTTGTGCTTCGGTTGTCTAAGTCTTCCTTTCTTATGATGTTTCTTTTTTCTTTGTCCCTTCTCACAAAATTCTTCAAAGTTTTAACAAGCCTCTTTTGTAAATTTAATAAAAGAAAACTCCCCAGATCATAATTTTGGTTTGTTATTGGTATCTCTTTTAATTCTTAAAAATCTCTCCATCTCTCTCTCTCTCTCTCTCTCTCTCTCTCTCTCTCTCTCTCTCTCTCTCTCTCTCTGTGTGTGTGTGTGTGTGTGTGTGTGTGTCTATCAGCTATCTAGCTATCTATCATCTGTACCTCTGCATCTAGCTAGCTATCAGCTATCTGTCTATATATCTATGTCTCCGTCTCTGTCTATCATCTATCAATTTATCTATGGTATCTATCATATCTCTCTCTTTCTCTCTCTAGTTTATTATCTATCATCTAGCTGTCTATCTAGCTGTCTGTCTCTATATTTGTCTATATCTATCTATCTATCTATCTATCTATCTATCTATCTATCTATTTATCTATCATCTATTATCTATTATCTATTTGTGTCTGTCTGTTTCTATCTGCCTGCCTGCCTGCCTGCCTGCCTGCCTGCCTGCCTATCTATCTATCTATCTTTCTTTCTATCTATCTATCTATCTATCTATCTATCTATCTATCTATCTATCTATCTATCTATCTATCATCTATTTATCATCTATCTATCTTCTATCTATCATCTACCTATCTATCTCTGTATATATCTATCTAGTTATCATTTATCTATTGAGGGAGGGTGCATTACATTTTGGATTTACAATTTCATTCTGTTATTCTGAATAATCTGAGAAAGGGAGAGAACTTACTGTATGTTTATGATTCTGACACTATATTTTCTTTGTTGATGGCTTCAGGTGAAAGTTAAGAATGAGAACATAACATTTGCCATGAAATGCATTAAGAAGAAGCACATAGTGGATACCAAGCAACAGGAACATATTCACTCCGAAAAGAAAATTCTAGAAGAGGCCTGTTCACCATTCATTGTGAGGTAATTTTTTTTAAAAAAATTATTAATATAAACCTATTTCTTAAAAAGAAAAAAGATCTCTTTGCAAAAAATGACAAGGTCTGGATGGGGCATCACTGTTTCTTCACACTCTTCCAGAAACCATGAATCTCATTGTCACTCCATTCCACAAAACATTGTTGTCTACTGCAATTCCCTTTGGGGTTGTATTTCTTATATGACAATATGTATTTTTGCTTAACAGGAAAAAAATTGAGGATACTAGATTCATTGTCCTTGCCTCACTCATCATATATAGCAAGCTATTGTGTTTAGTGGAGAACTTTTCATGCAAACTTAGGTAGTCCTCAAATTACAACAGATAGTGCTCATCTTACAACAGTTCATTTAGTGACCAAAGTTACAATGGCACTGAAAAAAGTGACTTATGACCATTTTTCATATTTACAACCGTTGCAGTATGCCCATGCTCACGTGATCAAAATTCAGATGCTTGGCAACTGGTTCATATTTATGACCATTGCAGTGTCCCTGGGGTCATGTGATTCCCTTTTGCGACCTTCTGACAAGCAAAGTCAACAGGGAAGCCAGATTCACTTAACAACTGTGTTACTAATTTAACAATTGCAGTGATTCACTTAACAACCATGGCAAGAAAAGTCATAAAATGTGGCCGAGTTCACTTAACAAATGTTTCACTTAGCAACATAAATTTTGGACTCAATTGTGGTCGTAAGCCGAGGACTACCTGTCCTGGTTTTTCTAGGTTCTTACACATACAAAAAACATTTACTGGTAGAATTGCGTCTCTTCTCAATTGCCCACTACAGGTAGTCCTCTACTTACGACCACAATTGAGCCCAAAATTTATGTTGTTAAGTGAGAAATTCGTTAAGTGAGTTTGCTCCATTTTTACGACTTTTCTCTCCACATTTGTTAAGTGGATCACTGCTGTTCTTAAATTAGTAATGCAGTCGTTAAGTGAATCTGGCTTCACCATTGAATTTGCTTGTCAGAAGATCACAAAAGGGGATCACATGACCCCAGGACACTACAATCGTCATAAATGTGAGTCAGTGGTCAAGCATCCAAATGTAAATCATGTGACCATGGGGATGCTGCAATGGTCATAAGGGTGAAAAATGGTCAGAAATCGCTTTTTCCAGGGCCGTTGTAAGTTTGAATGGTCACTCAATGAACTGTTGTTAAGTCGAGGACTACCTGTGTTATCCTCAACTGTAGATGCGTGATTTGAATCTGTATGATTTTTAATAACAAGCTGAATGGAAGGAACACATTTTCTCCTGAATTTCGTGCAACCTCTCAATTTTGGCATTGTACAAATGACCTTATTCACCAAGTTGGTAAATCCTAGAGAATTGTTTATGAATGTCCTCTTGGTTGGGTTGATCAATATTATGGTCTCATTTTACCCCGAGATTCCATATTTTATTTTATTTGTCAATTGCTTACAAGATAATAGGTAAAAGTATAAACATGAGTAAGAATACAGGAAATAGGTACGAATAAATGGGGGCAACAGGATAGGGACGGTAGGCACGATGGTGCACTTATGCACGCCCCTTACAGACCTCTTAGGAATGGGGTGAGGTCAATAGTGGATACTTTTAAGGTTAAAGGAGTGGGGGTTAGAGGATATAACTAGAGTCAGGAAGTGCATTCCAGGCATTGACCACTCTGTTGCTGAGGTCGTACTTTCGGCAATCGAGTTTGGAGCGGTTTACATTGAGTTTGTATCTGCTGTGTGCTCTTGCATTGTTGCGGTTGAAGCTGAAGTAGTCATTGACTGGTAGGACATTTTGGCGGTATCAAAAGAAATAGTTCCTAATTTCAACCATTGAAACGGCAAAACTGACCAGTCTGATTCAGTGGTGGGATTCAAATTGTTTTACCACCGGTTCGGTGGGTGTGGCTTGGTGGGCGTGCTTTGCCTAACGCCGGTGCGTAGCTTTGCCCACCGCAGCTGAGACCTGCAGGGCCAATCGGCTGAGAGGATAAAGAAGAGAAAAATCACATGGGCAGGTGGGAGGGCCTATCCTGCGCTTTTCTTTTTCCTCTCAGCTGGGGAGGATTTTTTTCCCCCTTGTCAGATGATCATAGGCTTTATTTTTATTTTTTTTTACTACCGGTTCAGTTGAACCGGTCCAAACTGGTAGCATACCACCACTGCTCTGATTAAAGAAAAGAACATAAGTACTTTTGTCTCCACATGGAAACCACTTCTGAACTTTGTGTTTGATGTGGAAAAGAATGAAACTCTTGATGGTAGGTTTTACCGATTAGATTGATGAATCTTTATAGAAATGACTTGTTCATATTATTATGAAAAGGCAAAAAGCTGCAATTTGATGCTAATGCCTTATTTTATTGCAACAAAGAGTCAGAAGTTAATGCTTATTTTACTTTTCTTTTCCCTACCTTTCCTCACTTCTCTTCCCCCTTTCCCTTCCCTCCTCATTGCTCTTTTATTTGCTTTTGTATTTTGCATTTTATAATACTTAATAACTTAATAAGAAAAATGTTTGGAGCAGAAGAACGATTCCTCCATGCATGCAGTGCTATAGAAATGTGATTATTGTTAAGTTATATACACTTTATCTTCAACTTGAATTGTTTGCATGTTGCTTCTTTCTTTTTTTTAAACTCCCTTCAGGTTGTATCGCACTTTCAAAGACAACAAATACGTTTATATGCTCTTAGAAGCCTGTCTTGGAGGTGAGCTATGGAGCATCCTCAGGGACAGGTATTATTATTATTATTATTATTATTATTATTATTATTATTATTATTATCTCTTTCATTCATTAAACGTGAAAGTCAGTCAACTGAATATTTAAAAATGTATCACAAATATCACATTATTATTATTATTATTATTATTATTATTATTATTATTATTATTATTATTATTATTATTATTTCCTTAAACATGAAAGTCAGTCAACTGAACATTTTAAAATGTATTACAAACATCATTGACTGGCTCTGATCGTTGATACAGGTTTCTGCCAACATCCTAGGTATCAACCAAGTATTTTCTTAAAAATGTACGATGTTCCGAGTAGCACAGTCTGCTGGCGCTACAGCAGGAAGCTGCAACTTCTTGATGTGTTTTGCAAAATTCTTGGACATCTTCTTGTATAAATCTAGGGTGAGGTCACAATTGGAATGGGTTAGCAGAGCAGGAAAGCAATAATCTAAAACTGAAAGAAGCCAATCAAAATCCTTATGGATTAAGAAAGACTAGAGTGTCTAGGGTTTTTGGTATGGAAAGAAGGAAGTTATGATACAGGTGTTAAAATTATCCACAATATATAAAATGTAGATCAATGTTTCCTTCTCACAATGTTCATTCATTAAAACTGAATTAAAACTAAATGTAGGGGAATGATACAAGGAAGGGCATAATTAAATGACAGCACTTGCTTCCATCAGATGTTGTGATAGCCACTAATTTAAACAGGCCTGAAGAAATTATATCGGTGTCTACTAGACTTGAATGCTAAATGGGAACTTGAGAATCACGATGGCCTTTTGAATATCATCTGCTGAAGAGTCCCAGGGAAGAGGAAAAGGTTAAATGTCTTGAAGGTCCTTTTAGATTAACGTCATCAGCCGATGATGGAAATAAGTAATTTTACAAGCAAATATTCTCCCTCTTTCAACATCTTTCTCCTCGATGTTGACCCCAAGCTCCTGTAGGCTGTGAGGATCTTTTACTTCATCGGAGCTGATGATTTTGGTCTATACATTGAGTTACATTGTTGATGGTTTCTTCTATTTTATTATGTTCATGATTTTTACTATATCTCTTCAGAGTCTACTAAGACTGGAAGAGGAAAGGTTGAAAATAATTTGACAATAAAATTCTTTTTCTTTCTTTCTTTCTTTCTCTTTCTCTTCTTCCTTCCTTCCTTCCTTCCTTTCCTTCCTTCTTTTTTTCTTTCTTTTTTAAGGGGTAGTTTTGATGAAACCACTACAAAATTCTGTGTTGGTTGTGTGACAGAAGCTATTGAATATTTACATTCTATGAGTATAATCTACAGGGATTTGAAACCAGAAAATTTAATTTTGGATGCCCAGGGTTATATAAAGTTGGTAAGTTTTTTTTTTTTTTAAAGATAAAGAAATATAGGGGCATTGCTAAGAGAAGTTTGCTTTGCATTTGATATGCACGCATTCAAAGAAAATTTTAAGAGTGCTTGTTAGGGTTTGGAGATTAACCCCTAGAAGAGTATTGCAGCAGTAGT